CGTATGCATCTTCACTGTTATCACATGATATATCAATATCCGATTCCAAAGAACTAGAATCAAACACCTTTTTCTTGTAATGCCAATTACAAGAAAAAGGTGTTTTATTACAAGAAAAATTATCTTGTAAACCCAAATGCTAATTTTCTCAGTTATATTGCTGTTACGCCATAAAAAATTAAGCTAAATATTTTTTTTGTGTGGCTATTTTAGCTTCTTGTTCAGCAGAAAATACTGATTTTCTACCTAATGAGACACCTTGAAGATTTTTATTTTTTATTCTTTCTTGCAATGTCGAAAAATGGATGGATTAATCCCTAAGGATTAATAGTATAGGGTATAAATTATAGCATGGGGGTAATACCGGTCAACTGACCGGCATTGCCTCCTGTTGGCATTTTTTTTCTTAGAATTTTTTACTCGTAAACATGTATTAAAATATTGATCTTTAAAAAAGGAATAGGCAGCTAACGTCGTTATAATCAATTGTAACCAATTTTAAGATCTACAAGTGAATAAAAATGAATTAAGACCTTATATTACTCAGCATAAAAATAAGATCGAAAACACTGAAAACAGGTTAGTAATATTTCTATGACAATGGTTTGCGCCAACTCAACGCTCGTCAGCAATCTGAATACAGAGTAGTGTAGCGATACGTTGGCAGTTATAGGAGGTTGCCAGATTGAATAGATTTCGCACAATCGGGATGACCGCCATTACCCACTGACCGGTATTTACACAGTTTACCCTAATGCTCGAGCAGTAACGTAGATACGCTGAAAATTTTCCGGATTAAAAAAAACAAGTTCAGTGTTCTCAAAAAATAATGAAACAGGGGACATAATGATGTAACAGCAGCACATGAAGATGTAATTTTAATGAAAGTTGAGGAAAATTTAGAAATTAGCGTTCGACAACTATCTACCATGTATCCCAAAATTTCAAAATCTTCTGCAGAAAATATCTTACATAACAAAAATTTATATCCTTTTTATTTTACAACGGTACGTACTACGTACTGTTAGAAGGAGATTTTCTTGTTCGGTTATGGTTACAAAATGAGAAAAATCAAAATGAAGATTTTTTCAGATACATTTTGTTTTTCGACGAAGCTACATTCACAAAAAATGAAATGTTTAATGTACATAATGCACATTATTATTCGTACGTTGGTGATATACGTTGTTCAAGAATTTAAGCATCAGCATAGGTTTAGCATAAACGTCTGGATAGGAGTAGTTGACCATTATCTACTTGGGCTCGTGGAATTGCTTGTTCGTTTAAATGATCCTGATTATTGACATTTCCTGCAAAATGTTTTAACTGATTTTTTAAATGATGTGCTTTTAAATATTCGACAAAACTTATGGTTTCTACATCACGGCTGTCCGGCCATCTTTAGCATGAATGTACGGGACTTTCTTGGTAATAACTAAGCTCACTCGATTGGAAGAGGTGGTCCAGTTGCTTCGCTAGCAAGGTCACCGGATTTGAATCCTTGCGATTATTGTATTTGAGTATATATAAGAACATTTTTTACTTAATTCCGATACAAAATTGTGCACAACCTTGGCTAAGGATACAAGATACTTGTAACGAATTTAAAAATAACTTTGGAATTTTTGCAAGAATTCGGCATTCTCTAAGCAAATTCACCGGCAACAGGAGGCCGACCAGAATGTAGCTTCCACTATTTTTTAAATAATTTTAAACTGTTTGTCCTTGTTTAGTATAGTGTTATGTTCAATTGTATGTTTAATTTTAAGTCTATGACATTCTGAAATTGTTGGATGGCCCAAAATTTGACGAAATGCCCCTGAAGATGCTCTAGAAAGCGGAAGTACTTGGGCAAGATTTAATTAATAAAACAGTGCTCGATATATGTATATCATTTTATCAAAGTTCATTTATTCGAGCATTTAACCATATCAATTTAATAACTTTTGTGTTGCTTTCAAGAGTTGTCATGTCCCCTCTTGATAGTTTTTTTATGGGTCACTTTTGGATTATATTTTCTATGTTCTCGCAGAGTCCCTATCAAGTAAATATTATTATCGTTGAGTAAATGGGCTAAACCAACGCTTGTATAGTAGATGTTCTACCACTTTTAAGAAGAGATTTTATCAATGCCATTACAAGTTGGCTGGAAACAGGCTGATCAATTGGTCTACTTTGCTTTCCAGTGTAGATTTTTATGTTGAATGTCCTCCTTGTCTACACAAGTTAAATATTTTTATCCCGTATTTGTGTCAGTTGCCTGGTATATACTGTAAAAATGTTAACCTTCCACGAAATGAAACCATTGACTCGTCGATGCAAACGTACTGCCCTGGAGTATAAACGGTTTGAAAAATTCTATTACACATATCTACTAATGTACTTAACTTGAAAAGGCTTATTATTTTCGGGACATAGTTAATTATTTGAAAAACTAAGAGAAGCCAAGAGTGCCCCAAATTTATTTCTTGACATCTGTGTATTTTGATAAATGGAACATTTATGAAAAAAATTTGCACCGCAATAGTCTTGGTTTCGGATTAAGGCCCATTCATATGAGTATGCCCAAGAATGTATAATTTTTTCCTTATTTGTATCAGTCTAATTAGTTAGAAATGAATTTCATGTTACTGATTCAATGATGGCATAAATATTGGGTTCAGTTACCAAAAGATAAGTATGTTTTTCATCAGTAGAAGCAGAAGTTTATACAATGGAAGTGGACTATCATCTTGACGATGTATAACATTCAAAGTTGAAGAACTATTTTGCTGAAGAGAAAAAGCATTCAAATTACCAAAAATATTATCCCATACAACACATGTCTCTAAATTTTTTGTCGATTGCGTAATTTGGTTAATGACATCTTCAGAATCTAAATCTGCCTTTACACTGACCTAAAAAAGTTCTAAGTTTAATTTTTTTAAAATTCCAAGTCAGCATACCTCTGAACTTGTAGAATTATGTCCTTTCACATTTTGATTAACTATTTCTTCAGATTCTAAATTAGAAGTCCCGCGGCCCAAATTTCTAATTTAATTTACGTTACAACAGGCATAAGAAAAATATGTAATATCTATACCCCATAATATTTTGATGTTTTACGATCCAAAAGTTTTCGTTTTTTATATATTTGTTCATCAGAAACTCTCCGAATACCAGGAATCATTGATAGAATCATCATCATCTTCACATTTAAATTCAAATTTACTTAAATTTTCAGCTATTATTTCGAATTCTCTTTTTTTTCTGTTAGACATAAAAATTATCCATAACAGAATTTACAAAAAATGCGAAGAAGATATGGGTCTGGAACAATTTGGCTTCCGAAACGGTATGGGAACTCGAGAAGCTTTGTTCAGTTTCTACTACTTGTGCTTTATAGATTATGAAAAGGCTTTTGGCAAACACGATCTGCTAATAGAATGCTTGCAAAAAAAGAACCTGGATCCAAACGACATTAATACAATACGTGAACTATACTGGAACCAAAACGCCTCTGACAGAACTGAAATGGGTGATACTGAAACCATAAACATCCAAAGAGGAGTTAGACAAGGTTGTATACTATCACCATTATTATTCAACTTGTACTCAGAGGACATCTTTGAACATAATCTAGATGAAGCACAAGAAGGAATAAAAGTCAATGGAAAAATCGTAAACAATATCAGCTATGCCGATGATACAGTACTGATTGCTGGCAGTGAAGAAGAACTACAAATTCTGTTAACCAAAGTAGTGCGAGAAGGAAAACTATACGGCCTTAAGGTGAATGTAAAAAAAACCAAAACAATGGTAGTTTCAAAAAAACACACACCAATCATAAACATACTAGTCAACAACAATCTAGTTGAACAAGTGAAAAAGTTTAAGTATCTAGGCTCTTGGATACATGAAACCTTAGAACAAGAGCAAGAGGTTAAATGTAGAAAAGAACAGGCAAGAAACACCTTCTTAAAGATGCGACAGTTACTCACTACCCGTAATCTTGATTTGTCCCTACGATATAGCATGATAAAGTGTTAGGTATATATAGTGTACTATTACACGGCGTGGAAGCTTGGACGTTAACAGTCAGCTCGTTACGACGTTTAGAGAGCTTTGAGATGTGGGTATTTCGTCGTATGCTGAAAATTCCATGGACCAACCGCATTAGAAATGAAGTTTTAAGGCGTATGAATAGAGAACGTGAACTCACAGAAATTGTCAAGAAGCGTAAAAGGTCTTATGTTGGACACATATTTAGATACGACAGGTATAACTTCCTTCAGCTTATTATAGAAGGGAAAATAGAAGGCAAACGCGGCCCGGGTAGACAACAAATGACCTGGCTGTGCAACATCAAAGATTGGACAGGATTAGATTGTCAAAGTTTAATAAGAAAGTCAACAATAGGAAAGATTTTGCAGAGGTCATCGCCAACCTTCGATAAGAAGACTGCACCCAAAGAAGAAGAAGACATAACTATTGAGATAAGCGCACGATAACTACTCTTGAGATTACAATAAGTAATTGCTGTCAATTTAAACTAGACAAAACATACACTTGTCGGTGTCATTGATATTATGTACCACTGTTGGCAAATTATTTCACCAAATTTCGAACTGAACTTAAAATGTAGTCGCCCCAGCCCAAGTCTATTTAAACATCCATATAAATGCTATTCTATATCATATATTCTATATTCTATATCACATCCATATAAATAACTATCAATAAGAGACAATTCACAAAAAACTTGTAGTGTAGCCAGTGTACCGTAATGAAAGGGCAGGATAAAAATAAAAATAGGTATCTATTCAAAGGACTTCAAAACCATCTGACGTCATTGATATTTATAAACATCTCTATCTTGATATCGTATGTCACATGCTCAATCAAAACATCCCCCTGTATACATCTCTTTGTATTAAAAAAACCGTGCGATGAAATCTAGTTCATGCATGCGCAATACAAACACCAGTTGAATGCCCTGCACCCCTACAAATCGTTCCCTCACTCCCTTCCAGACCAAACCGCGACAAACCACCCTGTGCGCCACAACAGTTTGTAGTAAATTAATTCTAAATATGTAACTAATTGTAAAGTCGTTGTAAATAATGTTTGTAATAAAGCAGGTGAAAACAAACGCGTCGTTCTTAATACAAACAAAGAGTGTTCAATGGTGTAATAATCGATACGAAAATACGCGATCGGATAGTGGAAAATGAACGGCATTTTATCTCCTAGGGCGAAAAAACGTAAACAAAAAGAAGACATGAAGGAACAGATAGTAGCACAGGTTCACAAATCGGTGATTTCTAATCCTAGCAGTGACAATGATTACCAATTATCGGAAACCGAGTCCAACAGGACTTATACGAAATATGAAGACAAAAACGAAAATATTAGCATGCACACCCCAAGTAGAGAAATCTCCGTGGACGGTGAAAGTCAGATCAACTCAAAAATTTTATCTCTAATAGAGACCGAAATGCGAAGGGATATAAACAGACATTCCCATTTTACAGATTCGCGACCTCAGAGTCTCAGCTTTTATGAAGACGAGAAAATGCCAGAGGAACTTTCAGGTAAGATATTATAACGTAAAATAATTGATTTTGTTAAATTTAAATATTTGTTTAGAAAGGTTGGGGTTCAAGGTGTGCCTACATGTAAAAAGGAATATTTCGAAAGGTCATATGTCAAACGTTCACGTGTCTAGCAGTGTGGGACTAGCTCGATTTTCGTCGGGAACCAATAATCAAAAGGGTGAATATCTTCACGTGGGTGTATCGTGGGAGGATTTGGTCAATATTAGAAATATTTGGAGAGCCAAATTGGGCGTATTTACTTATACACTTCACATTTATAAAAGAACCTTTCCAATTAAAGTTTTTTAAGTCTGAACATTTCTACAGTTCTCTTGATTTTGTAATTATCATAAATAAAATCAATTTAGGGCTCTTTCGCAAATACCACAATATAACTGAGGAGTTCCTATAAAACTACAAGTTATTCAGAAAATTATGATTAAAAGTAAATGTGAAAAAATGTTTGAAAACACCTATGTCACAATGATGTGACGTCACACATTTTGAGGATCATAATAATCATATTGAATTCTTTATGCTATATGACTCTTCACAAATATTCAAGTTATTTATTAGTCCAAGAAGTTAGAAAGTTAAAACATAAAAGAAGAAATATTTCTGATGTTTTTGAATTATACTATTGTGAAATGAACATTGAATATAAAAATGCATTTTTTTTCTTGACAAAAGCGTATAACTTTTTTTCAAAATCTAATAGATAACATAAAAACTCATTGTGCCCAAGACTTAGATGTAGTGCATAAAAGCCCTTCCCCCTTTTAAATTTAATGTTTGTTTCGTCCCTTCTAAGTGTTTTTTGTTTTAGTGTGTTTAAATTGTCCTTAATTGTTTTAATTCGAATATTTTGTTTACTCGACTTTGCAATAATCTACTATTTTGCCAATAGAACTTGATCAAAGAAGTTTGATAATAACAAGTTGAAAAATAATTGCACACCCACACAATTTGTACATCTAAACTTATTCATTGTGATAAAACTGTCACCTTCATAAAACAGTTACTTAATAAATAACACACATTTCATATATCTCTCGAATACGTATAAATAACTATTAAATAATACAATGGTATATAACATCACTTTCATTTAACAAACAATCACACACATATCTCTGCTTTATTGGATCAAATCTATCTCCTCAAGAACTTCCCGTTTACTGTCAAACAACTACAATAGCAGAAATAAGTTCTACATTCAACAATACATAATAGTTTCAACCATGTTCTACCATCCATCAATTAATAGAGCACCGGCATCATTTATTTAACTTTGTATCGAGACCTGAAGATGCTTTGCATATTGTAGAAAGCGAAACCGGTCGTGTGATAGTTAATAAATTAAATTGATTGTAAGTCTTATTTATTATTTCTTTACCTATTCGTATAACTTTTGTTTGGAGATGGCTGCAGGTCTTTGCTGCAGTATATTTCTGATTTTTTTTCAGATTTTTCTGTCAGGTGCAATACCTCTGAGAATTTTCTCCAGTACATAGAATTTAGAATATGATTAAATCAGGGGTTTTTTATAGGTTATATATAATTTGACGTAACTTGGTCCTTTGTGTTATTCAAAAAATGGGCCAAAAACCCCAAAAAAACATGTTTTTCATGGTTTTTGCTAGTTTTTGCGGGGTCAATCATCTCTTTGAGATAGACACAACCTGAATCAATTTTTTACGTAAAATAACCGCTAATTACCAGTTGTGGACCCAAAATAGGTAGATTAAAATCAAAATAAAATAATTTTATTTTACAAAATGCAACAAAATGAAAATTATAGAAAAAAGTTTTTTTAATAAAATTTTATTAAATATGAAAATAAGGAAGTTTGGGTTCAAAATATCCATTTTATTTTAAATCTATTTTATATTAAGTAATGATAAACAGTAACACAATTAATATTTGGTGGGGACGTGTACGAACTTATCACTTTATAAGTCAATATAAGGTTGAATGTTCGAATAATTAAACTTTGATAGTATACAAGGCAACTATCGAACACAGTGATTAATTCAATCTTGCCCAAGTACTTTCGATCAATAGATCATCTTCAGGGGCATTTCGTCAGTTGTGGCCTATCCGACATGAGTAGAATGTCATAAAAGTAAAATTTTATTGTTATAACTAACATTTTATTGTTATAACTAATATTGTTATTGACATAACAATACAATACACAAAGACAAACAAACACTTTAAAATTTTTAAAGGAGAAACTACATGTTATACAGAAATCGGAGACAGAATGGGCTGTTTCCGGGAGCCCATTCTGTCTCCGGTTTCTGTATAACATGTAGCTTCTCCTTTAAAAATTTTAAAGTGTTTGTTTGTCTTTGTGTATTGTATTGTTATGTCCAATTTTACTTTTATGGCATTCTACTCATCTCGGATAGGCCACAACTGACGAAATGCCCCTGAAATGATCTATTGATCGAAAGTACTTGGGCAAGATTTAATTAATCACTGTGTTCGATAGTTGCCTTGTATACTATCAAAGTTTATCACTTTATGTTCCCCCATAAAATTATTAGACCCTCCGAGATATAGTAAACTGATCACCGGTATTCTTTGGAGATAGGTAAACTCATCACCAGTATTTTTGCACAAAGCGCTGGTCTCTAATACAGAAGATTGCCTGTTACCTTCTTGTTATATGGTATTTTAATAAATTTAAAAATTATTTTAAGCAAATTGGTTTTAAATAGATGTTGATATGGTTTTCTTATGGTGTGGCCCATTAGACGTATCTGCCAATCTAAACGGTTTTAAGATCTGAAAATTTAGTTGCATAGGTTTTCGATAGTGAACTTTATAATGAAAACATTTATGAGCATCTCCTGTTTCCGTTTATATCGGAAATAGTCCCCAGCTTACTAACTAGATTAGCAAGGTTATTTTGTGGAAACAGCAAAAAAATTTAAAATTAAAATGTCTTAAAATTGTTCGAAAATTGTTCGAACATATGATAATGAAGAAAACTATGAAAATTTGAAACATTGCGAAATTTATGTGGGTAGGCAAAAGAAAATAATATATATATATATATATATATATATATATATATATATATATATATATATATATATATATATATATTTAAAATATATTCAATAGTTGAATAGCAGAGGTTGTATCGGTCAGTAATAGGCAAATGAAAGTCGTCAACTACTTCATTGATTTAATTGAATACGTTTCGCTTTTTTGTTTTCAAAAGCATCATCAGTTCACTACAAATAAAAATAAAAAGATTTAAAATATAAGTAAATAACCAAAAGGGTTCATACTTACAAAAACAATTTGTAGGTTTTTTTAAAGATGTTAAAAACACTCTACGATAACTTAACATTAAAAAACTTTAAAACTAAACGATAGAATCGAAACAAAAAACACACAAGAAAAAACTGAAAGAGCACTATTGTTTATTTAATTTTTACCTCGGTAAAGTTTTAAAGTTTTTTAATGTTAAGTTATCGTAGAGTGTTTTTAACATCTTTAAAAAAACCTACAAATTGTTTTTGTAAGTATGAACCCTTTTGGTTATTTACTTATATTTTAAATCTTTTTATTTTTATTTGTAGTGAACTGATGATGCTTTTGAAAACAAAAAAGCGAAACGTATTCAATTAAATCAATGAAGTAGTTGACGACTTTCATTTGCCTATTACTGACCGATACAACCTCTGCTATTCAACTATTGAATATATTTTAAATATATATATATATATATATATATATATATATATATATATATATTATTTTCTTTTGCCTACCCACATAAATTTCGCAATGTTTCAAATTTTCATAGTTTTCTTCATTATCATATGTTCGAACAATTTTCGAACAATTTTAAGACATTTTAATTTTAAATTTTTTTGCTGTTTCCACAAAATAACCTTGCTAATCTAGTTAGTAAGCTGGGGACTATTTCCGATATAAACGGAAACAGGAGATGCTCATAAATGTTTTCATTATAAAGTTCACTATCGAAAACCTATGCAACTAAATTTTCAGATCTTAAAACCGTTTAGATTGGCAGATACGTCTAATGGGCCACACCATAAGAAAACCATATCAACATCTATTTAAAACCAATTTGCTTAAAATAATTTCTAAATTTATTAAAATACCATATAACAAGAAGGTAACAGGCAATCTTCTGTATTAGAGACCAGCGCTTTGTGCAAAAATACTGGTGATGAGTTTACCTATCTCCAAAGAATACCGGTGATCAGTTTACTATATCTCGGAGGGTCTAATAATTTTATGGGGGAACATAAAGTGATAAACTTTGATAGTATACAAGGCAACTATCGAACACAGTGATTAATTAAATCTGTCTGAGTGATCCTTATATAGATAATCTATAGTGTATAGTCTTAGTGATATATATATATATATATATATATATATATATATATATATATATATATATATATCTTCTTCTTCTTTTTATGTAAAAATGACTCTGTCTGTATTTTAATGTACCTTTAGTAAGTTGTCGTTCAATCGGTTTCGTGGTCTTACTGATACTGATACAAAAGTGAGCATATTGGGATGATAATGGTAAAAACGGTTGGAAAAATAGGATTGAAAGATTCACATGAATTTGTGGTGAAATGTATATGACTAGACTGGGATGCCCAAACAGTTAAAGGAAAAATGGGCTCATTACTTATATAATTCCCTACCATATAATCGGCCATTTTCATAAATGAAGACAGATTAGAGATATATAAGTGGTGTAGCCTCTTGCCGTTGGAATCTCCCCTCTTGTAAGTGGTTATCAAAACCAAGTTTTTAGATTTCGCGAAACCAACTTTGTGTCAAGTAAAAAAAACACCCAATTCGCTTCGTAGATAGCCGAACGGCAATTACGGCCTTGTGAATCGAAATTTCAAAATTAGCTACAAGTCTTGATGGACTTAAAACGACATTAACTTTTTCGGAGCAACGAATTAATTGGGTAAAGACCGTGA